GTTCTGTTTAAGTAGGAAGGATACAGGGCATCTCCCATTTAGGTGAAACGACAGAATGAAAAGATTGGTGCAGAAAAATAAGAAAGGCATTGAAGTGCGTGTTGCTCTTTGTCACGGAGAAAGCTCAGTTCTAAAGGGGGTGGTCTGGGTGAAAGCTCTCCAGTTATTGTAGAGGAAACTGATACTTTTAGAGTTTCAGAAATGCCCTGAAATAACTTTAAGATGAGAGGAGCTGTGCCCTGGAAATGCCTGTGTCTGTCAACTGTTGTAAAGGACCGTGAACTCGGATGTAGAGGTGTGCACTGGAAACAGCTAACATTACACGCACTGGGTCTGGGGGCCTGTGCAAGGAGGAGCACCTGGTGCCACTTGAAGTCAAGCCAAGGATTGTATGAGAAGAGGGCCAGTGGAGTTGAAGGACACACTGCTGGGGATATGCCTCACTGAAGTGTCGCTCAGCCAGCTCCTGGTGGGCTGGGAGCTGGAGAAGGGCTGCAGGGCAGCAGGTGCAGGTGCCCTCAGGGAGCCAGGAGATGTCTGCTGGAGTTTTGCACAGGATGTGTGTGAGGGTGGCAGGCCCACATCGTCGATCCAGTATCAATGCTTTTTGAACATAGGACGCTGGACAAATTCATTTTATTCTCCCCCTGGCAGAGCCGTGACCAGTGCACCATCTCTTTGACGTCATGTACATGCACGAGGGCATCTTTTTTGTGCATGGTATACTTCAAAGAGAGTGCACATACGTCAGAGAGTTTCTTATAACAGCTTTGCATGGTAGTGCAGATGTGATTTCACTAATTCTCCAAGAACAATAAAGCAAAATTCAGCACAGGGTAAAACAAACACAGTTGCCTATTTTTGGCAGCATTTTTCAGGTTACTAACATCCTTTAATTTGAAGTTTAATGCTGAGGGCTACACATTGATTTTGAACAGCTTCTTGGAACAGCATCAATTTTCCATTTAGAAAATTGCTTTTTAAAATTTTTTTATTTTTTTTTTAAGCTTAAGCCTAAATGGGGGAGTGTTCATATTTTCCTGAGAGATGCTTTCCTATGGAAACCTACTCTTTGGGTCTGAAATTCAAAACAGTTTTGACAAAGCTTAGGAATTATGAGCAATAACATAGGAAATGTTGTAGGAAATAAGAGCTGAACTGAGGGAGAGACAAGTTTAGAACATAAAGGCCAAGCCCAGAAAAGTAATAAAACAGAGTCAGAATTAGAGTTAAAATTAAAACAGGCCCATGGCCAAATTTAAAGATACTATATGTCTGGATGATAGTGGGGAAAAAACATTGAAAGCAAAACCAGAGTAATAGCTGGCAACGGGTAATGTCTGGCAATGAATTTGCCATAAAATTAATTTCAGAGAACAGGTGGGTGAAGAAATTTCTCTGTCAAGGAGGACAAGAATCCTAACATAATGCAGTGGCATTTTTCAGTGAGAGGCAAAAGTGTGGAAGTGTCCCATGGTGCTGAGAAGGCTTCTCTGTCAGCCTTCTATATTTGGAAGTTCAAATTGCTGAGGCAGATTAGAAGCACTGAGCCCAGTAAACTGGCGTTAACGAGCAATTTCCAGTGCCTGCATACCTCCCATGTGCTCTGAAGGTGTCAGCGCTGCAGTCAAGGCGTGCTTCCAGCTCGTAGGGGTGGACCTGAGCTACACCGGCTGCTGAGGACAGTGTCACCATGTCTGCTAAACCAGCTCGAGATGCTGGATCATTGAGCTGAACCAGAGCTCCGTGCAGTTATATTCGCCCACTATAAGCAGCCAAGCTGGTTAACTTAAAGCTGGCCAGTGGTGCAGCCGAAGATCTGAGCTGTTCTCATGTCTGTGGTGCATATATAAAAGAGGGATACAGCTGGGCCCTCAGTGGTTGTTTCTAGGTAAAACTATTATATAGGGCAGAACTATAGTAGAGGAGTAGAGTAGAGTAGAGTAGAGTAGAGTAGAGTAGAGTAGAGTAGAGGAAAGCCAAGGCACAGCTGGAGCTGGACTTGGCTAGTCGTGTGAAAAATAACAAGGGTTTCTTCAGGTACACAGGACAACAAAGAAAGATGAAAGAAACTGTACCCCTCTGATAAGCAAAATGGGAGACATGGCTACAACTGACATGGAGAAGGCTGAAGTACTAAGTGACTTTTTTTGCCTCGATCTTCACTGACAAGTGCTCCAGCCACACCACCCGATTCACAGAATACAAAGGTGGGAGAATGCCCATTGTAGGAGAAGATCAGTTTTAAGACCATCTAAGGAACCTGAAAGTGCACAAGTCCATGGGACCTTATGAGATGCATCCAAGAGTCCTGAGGGAACTGGCAGATGAAGTTGCTGAACTACTATCCATCCTATTTGAAAAGTCATGACAAACTGGTGAAGTTCCCAGTGATGGAAAAAGGGGAAACATAACCCGCATTTTTAAAAAGGGAAAAAAGGAAGACCCAGGGAACTACAGGCCAGTCAGTCTCACCTCTGTGCCTGGTCAGATCATGGAGCAGATCCTCCTGGAATATACGCTAAGATAAATGGAAAACAGAGAGGTGATTTGTGACAGCCAACATGGCTTCACTAAGGGCAAATCAAACCTGACAAATTTGGTGGCCTTATACGACGGAGTTACAGCGTTGGTGGATAAGGGAAGAGCAAATTATATCACCTACCTGGACTTGTGCAAAGCATTTGACACTGTCCCACACAACAACCTTGTCACTAAATTGGACAGACATGAATTTGATGGGTAGACCGCTCAGTGGATAAGGAATTGTCTGGATGGTTGCACTAAAAAGTTGTGGTCAGAGGCTCAATGTCTGGGTAGAGACCAGTGATGAGTGGTGTCCCTCGGGGATCAGTATTGGGACCACTACTGTTTAACATCTTAAACCTCATCTGACTGTTAGAGCTGGAGTGATTTCCATGGAGGGATGGGAGAGGCAAAGACTTGGCTCCTTTGCCTGAACTTGGAAGGATAACAGAAATCCTTTTTTCTCCATGAATTTAGTTACTGTCCTGAGTTTTGAATCTCTGGTGATAGTTGACCATCACACAACCATTAGAGGGCGTGTTTCTGCCCTACATGGTGTGTCCTTCACAGCTGCACCACCTCTGAGGCCCTCTCTGGCTGCAGAGGGATTGCGTGCTGGCTAGACACCCCTGAAGTGTCATTTGAGAGGGTGGCTACGAGAGCAACCTGGATTGTTGACACCAAATTGCTCTATTTTTTATTTTTTTTTTACTTGATATGAAATAGAAAAGAGATCTGAACACGAGTCAGATTCAGAACATTTTAATATCCTTTTCTTTGCTTCACACCAGTCTCGTATATTTAATTTAATTGATTGTTTTTTTTCTTATGTGATATGAACTGTGAGATGGATCTATTACAGATACGTTATTTATGTATTGTGGTTGCCTTATGGGCAGATTTCATACCAAGATGATTAAGGAGTGTTTTTTTCTGTTCCTTGAAGACTGCATAATGAGATGTGAAGGGGGAAAATGTGTATTTTAATTGAGTGTATTTGTAGAGTTGAGAGTGTGGTACATCATATTTCACGTGTGGCTCTGGGTTTGATAGTGTCTTCTTATGCCTTGATTTATTTTTGAGACAATTAATTTTTCTTTCTGCTGTGCTGTTAGTTAGGTATCTAAACCATACTTGAGTCACAAAGACATTTATTGAACCATGAAAATACTAATTCCAGAGAAAGCAGAATATTATTTGTACTTGGATGTAAAGTAGCAAAGTCTTTAATGATGTTTAGGTAGAACTTTATTAACATCTGAATATCTCTGGAGAGCTATGGTAACAGTAGAAGTATTAAACTCAATATTGTTTGTTTTTCTTTAAGTAAATAAGGAGGATTGCAAGTCTTCTCTTTGTGAGTCGGCTGAATATTTGCAGGGATTAACTAATCTATACCAGAGCCAGCACGGACTGACCCTTATCAACCTGATTCCCCTTCTTCTGCTCCATCATGTGGGATGTTGGCACTGCAAGGGGTCATAGAATGCGCAGGAAAAAATTGCTGCCAAAATTATCCTTGTGTGCACAGAGTACCTCCTCTTAGGGTAGCATAGTTTAGGGACTGATGTCTGCAGTCACGGTTGCACAAATCTTTAGGAAAGCAGATTTATGCTGCCTCATGGTTGGGTTTCGCCATAGTAAGAGTGAGCTATGCCAGCTAAGGAGCTCTTCTTCTTGTGCCTTAGGCTGCAGACATGACCACTGCCTTCCCCCTCCTTCATTCGTGGCCAGTTGTGCCAGGAGAAGCCAGCTAAATCGAAAGAAACCTATCAGACTTTATGGATCCACCACACCGGTTTGCCCAAAAGCTGCATAAACCTCGAGCCTGTGGCTAAAGCTCTGATTCCGTTTTCCTAAGTCTTATGATTTTGTGTCATTTTTATGGGCCACGTAGGGCTGTGCAGTGTTGAAGGTGGGCTTCCCCTGAGGAAATGGAGAAGTCTCCACCCAAACCAGGCAGCTGGTCTCCCTCTGTAGACAGTGGAGAGAAAGAAATGTTTCTCGGACACGTGTTATTCCATGTCCTCTCTGTAGCAGAGTCTAAAAGAGGCATGTGGTCAATGTTTTCCCTTTATTGACTGCAAAGGGAGCTGGAGGTGGCCTTGCCCATGTGGAGACATCTCATGGACCTTGCCAGTGTGTGTCATTTTAATATAGGGATGTTCCCTCTGAAAAAATTTATGCACCAGTGCTGCCAACCTCACCCAAACTCTCTCTTCATGCCAAGCTGTTTCAAGAGTGAGATGCTACTGAGGTTTACTTTAATAGTACAATCCTGGGCTATGAATTTGAAAACAAAGCTACAAAGACAAAACTAAAAATATAACTAGATGTGAGTCTAGATTGTATGTGGGATCTGAATCAATATTATTAATGAGATAAATAGCTAGTATTCTTTCTTAGCTAATGCTAGGAAGTTTCTTACTGCTTTTCACTTAGGCTGCTCAGGGCTTATCTCGGTCACGGAGACCATGGGGCTGATCTCCCCTCACATCATGAATTCTGCCTTGAGGTACTCCTCAGAGCTGACCCTGGATGACATTTTCAGAGGTATCTGAATACTGAGTTTACCTCCCCTAATTTTTCTGGGCTTCCTTTGAAATCGGTGAAGAGGGAAAGGCACTCAACAGAAGGCGATTTATCCATCTTAGACATCCAACCTAACATAGGACAGCCTGTGCTCTGGGTATGGCTTGCTCCATTAACCAAAGAGAAAGCCTGGTTGGCTGCTGTAGATCAAATACCATCATGGCCAGAAGTTTGGGATCAATCCTGCTCCCTGGGAAAAAAATTCTAGTGGAGTCTCAAATGCTTTTCCAAATCCCACCCTCTGCCTTAGCTTTTGTACTGCACAGCATCCGATGTGCTTTGTGCTTGCTCTGTGATGATACACGGTGATCATCAAAGAAGTGAGAATGCTGCACAGTATGTTCCATGCCAGCTACTTCCTTTCTGATGTAATTATAACTGAGTTTGCTAATCCCAGTCATGATTAATGAGCTTAATATGCAAATGTTATGATGAAACTGAAACTCTTTGTAATTGCTTGCAGACAGATTACCACTTCGAGTACACAGAGTGCGACAGCAGTGGCTCCAGATGGAGGGTGGCTGTCCCGAATCCGTCAGTGGAGTGCTCTGGACTACCCGACCCGGTGAAAGGGAAGGAATGCAGTATGTCAGCACTTTTCATTTTACAGTCCTTTACTAGCTGTTTGTGCTGTTTACCCTTGTATGGCTTCTTAGCTCTGTCACTGATGTCCTGAGTGTCCCTGAGTTAATCCTTCCCCTCCAATCCTTCTTCTTGTCTCTTGGAGCTGTGGAGCAGGGATTGTCTTTGCAGCGTGGTTGTGTAGCTCAGTATCTGCTACAGGTACCCTTGTTTGCTAATTCACAGACAAGGCACGTCTATAACAACACCCCTTGAAGAGGCGTGGTTGCTTGTCTTGAGCTGCCATACTCTATAAAGTTCTGCAGCTGTATTGCCCAAAAGGGTACCAGGGGTGGCCAAATTATATTTGCATAGTAGTGTCCACATTCTCTTTACCTGAATTATTTAGCTAATTAATAAGCTGAATGTATAAATAATAGTAAATATCTTATTTGCCTGAGTTATTTTCATGATGAAGCTTTTGCATTTTATTTATGTATTTTTTTTAACGACTTGGAGTGTTCTCATATCACTTGGTCCTGCATTTTTTTAAAATGTTAAAACACTTCTTTGCATCTGGGGACATGAATGAGCTGCTGCTCTGCAAACACATTTGAACTGTTCCCTCACTGTTTTGTAGCTTCCCACGCTGTTTCCCATCACACCTCCTTGCTTTAGCAATTCTCTTCACAAAAGATTCTAGCAGTGCTTTACTTTCTCAGTAATTTGTACCAGGGAGTATAAATTATTGTACCTAACAAACAGGATGAACAATGGCAACATCCCTTCAGTTCTGCTGTAGGAGAGATGAGGTTTACTCACTTCTGACTCTCCTGTAAAGGTTTATTGTTCATTTCTTTATGACATATGTTCCAGCATGAGGCACATAAATGTTTTCTTCAGCAGTGTTGACCACTGGAAGATTTCTGACTGCTTACAAGCATCGTTTGAGAAGTTACCTGTGTCATTCCTGGCATTTGGGTTTAGTTTCCTAGGTTTTAAATGTGGAATCTCTGTGTATCCTTAGGATGTGTTTTTCGATTATGGAAATATAGAGCTGGGAAGCACCTCAGCTGATCCCATAATTCCTCCCTCAGCCCAAATAGGTGTAGTAGCAATGACTGTCATTCACGGCTGGTGTTTTGGCTGGACTGTTTTCAGGGACATCCAGTGATGAAGGGCCCACAAAGTCTCCAGATATTTGCTCATCTATTTTATTCTTTTAATTTTCCCTCCTGTTACAGCTTTTTCTGCTGCTGAATATCACTTGTTCTACTTCAAGCCTGTAACTTTTTGCTGTCTGCATTAGAAAGGAGCAGATAACGTTATCCCTTCTGCTGCACAATCACTTTTAGTGTACTCTGGAGTACATAGGTATAACTCGTTTTTTTCTGATATACACTATTTCTTCTTAAATCTTGTGATAAATGGTTTAAGGTCCAGCAACGTTACAGTCTCCTCGACTTTCTGCTACAGATTTTGACAAATGGTGCACTTCCCTCTTCATCTCTTATTTCTGTGTCTTTCTGATCTTAAATCAGTTCCAATGAAATTCAACTGTTTTATATCAATAGATGAATCTTTGGCTTCTCCATATCTGTCCCCATGCTAGACAAGGAGAAAACTTTGCCCAATAGATTGGTTATGATATTATACACCAAAGTACAGGATTCTGTGAAATACACTGGAAGACTCATCTCAGTAGATACCTCTCCTCCTTGTAGTGTTGCTGTTAAGTCCCATGGCAATTCAGCTGGTTTGAGAAGCAATTGGATATTGGACTTCTTTTTAGTGAACCCTTCAGATCTCATCTCTCTGGGCTCTTGGGATTGCAGCTGTATCAATGTAGTTCTGTCTTTTTTGTGTGTCTGTAGTAGATTATCTGTCTTCAGGAGATGTCTGGCTATATTCTCATGGCAAAAGTAATTTTAGGTTTCTCATCTGTTAGTCTTTCACCTTTTGCTTTAAGAACAACCAACCTTTAAGGATGAAAACATGAATCTGTCAACAGCAGTCGATCAGTGCAGGAATGTATAGGGAACGTCCCTCCCATTTGGCTTGGCTAACATGGTGGTTTTTACTGCAAAATACTTGAATCAGCGTAGAGTTTGTCTGACAGTCCTTTCTTCAATGGGTGGGATATACTGGGAGAGGCAGCTTTTGAAAATTATGTGCCCTCTAGCTCTTTAGACTTTGCACATGGGTGTCTATTGTTGATAATGAGTTGCATTGAAAATGCTGGCAGATGGACACCTCCTCACTGACTTGTCATATTCTCTGAGCTGGTGGCTTCTGCCTCATCTGACAACACAGCAGCTGGACCAAGGGTGTCTTATACTAAAAGCACAAATTTCTGTAGCCTAATGGAAAATGAAAGGTTCTACATTTGGAGCTGCAACAACTTATGTTCCTGGTGGATTGTGTAAAGAGTGAGATTTGTGCTACAGGCTTGGCCAGGGTTTGCACACACATCTCACCAAGTAATTAATGGCTCTTTGAGATGCCTTCCTTTTCTCATAGGCCTAGTGTTATTTTATCCTGAGACCTGTCAAGAAATACTGTAACTATTCCATATCCTTTGAGATGAGTCTTTCTAGACATTCTACAAATTTATATAGATTTTTCTACATCTTGTAGATCCTACCCTATGCCAGAGCATATCGACACTGGGGCTCATCTTTTGGTTGAGTCCTGGGCTCCCTTAGATATCTCTTTCAGTCCTTCAGCCTGTACTGTGGAACTGAGGGCCACAGTACAATTACACCAGGTAGGATGATTTCCAGCTTTGGAGGTCTGTTACCTTCAGAAGTTTTGATTGGTATCTACTAGTTCTGAGATATATCTGAGCCAACTATGTCCCTGCTCTTTAAAAAAAGGGTTGCAGCTGTATAGCAGCATGAGCTCCTAGGCTTTTTTTGTCTCCTTGAGGTTGGCAAAGCCCTCAATGGTCCTTCATGGCACCTAGGACACAACTGATATGGAGGAATCTAGGTGAGAAAGGGGTTTTTTTTTGGGAACATATCTGCCACCACTGCTGACTTCACAATATACTGTTTGCAGTTGTTTTCATCTATTCAGAAATGTCTGCCGCTTGAGAACACCTGCTATTGATCTTTACTGCTCCCTGAAAACAGAAGTGACTTGAAAACAGAAGTGACTTGCAGGCTGTCATTAATTTTGGATCCTGAGAATACTGCGCCAACCTCTCCCGCTTCCAAATGCTCAGCAGTCATTCTCTTTAAATTGTGACTGAACTAGGAATTCAAAAGATGGTAGAACAATATGTTAAATGTCTCCGATCATCTCTGTAAATATGTCTAGACTGTGGTCTCCAGTGGAGTGGAAAGACACTTGAGATATTGCTAAAAATGTGTTAGTTCAGGTGCTTCACGTTATCTGGAGCAATCTAACTGTAGCACCAGAGCTCAGTTGGTGTCTTGAGATGTGCTCATTTTCAGGATGTTATGTTTTACTACTTTTCGTTCGAACGAACCCATTTAAAATTAGGTTGGGTATCTCTGCGCTCTGCTGCATTTTTAAGTGCACGCAGACCTGCAAAACACAGCTGACTGTGATCCACTGAGAGTTAACTGTCAGCATTCCCCGAAATGTCTGTAATCTCTGAAACGTGTCAGGATTCAGCCCTTTTTTTGAGTCTTCAAAAACTTAATCGGCAAAGTCTACCTGCAGAGAAGACGGAGTCCTCTGAGAAATAATCGTGGGGTTCAGAGTAGAAAGGACTGTGATATTTTGACTGCTTTATGACCTGGTTAATGAAAGAAGGCGCTTTCTTTAACTTTATCTTGCAATGAGCACAGAGCAGCGTGATAACCTACCTTCCCCTCCTGCTACCCTCCCCTCCACATCTCTCCCATCCAGGTGGGAGATGGGAAGAAAGAAGGAATCTCACATGACAGATGTTTGTGATGCTGTAGGAGGTCCTGCCATGCAGTGACCCCAGATACAGGAGATGCTCTGCAGCACAGTAGTTCACTTGCAATGCACTGGGACAATATGCCACTTTCTATATTTCACTCCCCTCTTTTTTTCTGATCTCCTTGCCCTGTGGGGCTGCAGCTGTCACCCCCCACTTTCAGACCCCACATCAGGGTGTCAGCCTGCATTTTGCAGTTCAGTGTGGTGTGGTACCTCAGTGCTCGCCCCATGAGGCCAGGCTGCCTCTGAACAGGCCGTGGCATGGCCATACCAGGCTGCTCGACCACCTCTCTCAGGCTTGTGTTTGTTCAGAGATGAGTCATGTTTTTGATGTGCCAGGGATCCTGCAGAGACACGTTAAAAGTGCAGCAAAGATCTTGGCTACGAAAAAGGCAATATTTGTTGCACCTAAAGATAATCTGTGTGGCTCTACTCTGCTTCCCATTTAAGATGTCCCCTCCAAGCATCTTCCTGGCACCATTTTAGAGGTAGGGCATATACGTGGAGGCAAGGAGCATTTGGCTGGGGGGTAGTAGCAGACAGAGAGCCTCCCTCAGCAAAATGCCGACCTCTGAATCACTCCATTACTTCTTGACAGTTGGGAATGTGCTTAAATAATTTGGTCTCTCGTTCATTTTTAATTACCACAGATCTCACTCTGATCTCCTCATGAGTCTGATAGCAGGACGGGAATTTAGCTGATAAGGATCACTGCCATCAGGGCAGCTGCTTAGCTTTTTAAACAGAAAATATTTATGGCAGTCAATGGGAGAGGTTTGCTTTCCTGCACCCCTTTATGGCTGGTATCTCTGAAAACCCTTTGCTTTGGTGTGGGGGCTGTACGCAGTGACTAATGGGGACCTTTCAGGGCCTGGCAGTGGGAACAGGACTTGGCATTGGGCTCCAGCTGACACTGTGCTGCAGTCTGTTTCAGTGGCCACATTCAGGCTTTTCTGCCAGCCTGACCATATGCTGCATGCTTTACACTCAAATTAAAAGTCTGAATTTGGAGCCTTCCTTCCTTCCATGTCTCCTTTCCTTCCTCTCTTCATCTCCCTTCACTAAAGTACAACCCAGATATGTGGTT